CTGCCTTGAACCACCAGAAACCCTTGAATTTGGGTGTGTTCGATTAGACCTCAAACGAACTCTGATGCCCCCAAAATTGTTTGGCCTTTGTTCCTGAGCTCAAGAGGGTACTAAAGGTGGTGGTGATTGAGCAAAAACATTTTAGATTTGGTGGATCTACACCTAAGGCCTACGCACCCACTGTGGGTATTTTTCTCAAAATTGAACTTTCCCTCGTCGGTTTAAGTGTAAAAATGGAAGAGGGATCGATTAGTCTTGGAGTGAGGGTCATTTTGGCACCATTGCCATCATCAACAGTAGTCGGAAACGAAAATTTTGGCTGGGTCGGGTCGGCGAGCCGAGAGAGGGTCCGGTTCTCCCTTTCTTATCTCCCTCATTTCCCCTCCTTTCTTTCCTTCCTCATTGGCCGGTTCTTCCCTCATTTTCTCTCCTCTCTCTTCTCTCCTTCTCATCCTAGCCATCCATTTCTTTCTTCCCTTTTCTTTTCCTTTCATCCCAGCCACACACGTGGCATATAACATGGCTCCAGATTTTCTGGAGCCTTCCAAAGAAGTTTAAAATTACCAATTTATCTCCGACTTTAAACGTTAATAACTTCTTCATTATCACTTTGTTTCATGAATGGTTTGCGCCCACGCATTCATGAGATCAAACTCTATCAAAAATATAAATTGTGACCTAGAATGATTCATGGATTTTAAATAATAAATTTTCAAACTTCAAACTTTGTACATTATAATAATTTCCAGAATTAAAACTTTAAAAATTTCCCAATTTCTATTTTCATAACCATAAATCGATTTATTTTTTCGATCTTCTCTACATATCCGTATATTTAAATTTTCATGGTATTACATATGGTGTATACTCACGATATACCTAATCATCTACCACATTTCACTTAACCTTAGTTTTTTTTTTTTTTTTTTTTTCAAAACTTAAAAAGTAACATTTAATGTGAAAATTAACTAGAGTTAGGTGAAATAACACGTTACAGATGATTAGGTGTATGGTGAGCATACACCTTAATTATGGTGGTGAGCAAAAGTGCTCCATTTTATAATGAATATGATAAAAGGATGAGGAGAGAACTCATTTATTATTTTAAGCGTAAATAATAGGTATAATGATAGGGAGATTCAAAATTTTAACCAAATAATGTGTCACCAATATAAAATAAGCATGTTAATCTACATTAAAGTAATAATTCATTCATCAACATCTATATCAATTAGTTTACAAATTTGATCTCTCTAGCATTACTTAAAAAATATTATTTATTACTAGTGCACTAAAAACTTGATTGAAATTGAGTAATTATATAGGTTACAACATTAACATAAGCAATTAAAACATGAGTTTACGAAATACCTTCTTGGACTATATAGTCCACCTTAACCTTGTAGATAGCTCCGTCACTGTATAAGCTACATGCATTAACATAAACCATTAAAACATTGAGGGTGTGTTTGTTTGGGCTCACTAACTCTCTTTGGACTGGACTAGACTAGCTATTATTGTAGTCCCATGTTTGTTAGGCTGAAGGATTAGGTTTAATGGGATTAAGTCTGACTCACTCCGACTGACTCCCTCACTAAATGCTCTTAGCCAAACCCCCCAAATATCCCAGGACTGCTAAGACCCCCGTGCTGCTTCGTATGACTCGTCCAAACCTTGTGCCTTGTTCCAACTCACAAGATCTCAATCCTTGAAAATAAGGATTTTTTTCATCTGGGTTTGGCGATTTGGGGTTTTCCACCATCTGGGTCTTTTGGTATCTCAGATCGCACACATACATACTTCGCTCTCTTTCAGAAACACCCTTAATTTTCACTTACCAACCACCCCGATTCCGTTGATTCTTCCCCCACTAGTTGTGTTCTGTCACGAGAATTCAATTTTCGACTCTCGTTTTCAGCGGACCATGATTTGAATCTGGTATGCCAGACAAGGTGAGCAATTATTTGGAATTGGGGACTTTGAAAGGTGTTTGGTTGGTGACAAAATTGAAAGAGAAAACAAAAGAAAATGGAATGGCAATTTGTAAGAACTGGGGAATTGCATGAAACGAAATGGGATTTTAAAAGGTGTTTTGTTGGTTGATTTTTTACAAACGGGATTCCATGAAAGCAACAGATCTTCAGGCCAAGCTTGCTGAAGGAAACAATCAAGAGATAGAGAGGATTGCGACGGATGGAGAAAAAGGGGGAAGTGGTGAGGCAGAGAAGACATAGCATTCTAAAAAAAGGGTTTCTAGAAAAAAAAAAAAAAAAGGAAGAATTAATATAAATATTTTAGATATGCTTTAAAATATATAATTTTTTAGTTTTGTTAATAATCCTGTTTTTTAGTCCGATACTGCATCAAACGCTTCATTAAGTTACTCCAGCTTAATTTAAAGTTACTCCAGCTTAATCTAGTCTAAGCATGTCCAGCTTAATCCCTGAAGCTAGTCCAGTTCGGTGCAACAAACGCATCCTGAGTTTATAAATAAAAAAATAATTTATATTTGACTCGGTTTGGTTCTCCAACCTTCGGTTTCGGTTCCTTTTTTCAATCTCAGTTCGGTTTTTTACTTTTGTCCTTTTCCGTCACATATCGGTGAACCGTTCGATTTTTTTCGGTTTTTGGGTTTCCGGCCCACCCGTACCCGCGTGGACAGGCCAGTCGAGCGCCAAGCGAACACTCTCCTCTATCTAGCACCGCAATGCTACTGGGAGCGCGAAATATCCGCTGGCGTCTCTGCCGTCAACAGTTCAGCCTCTCCTACACTCCAAGGTATCCCAAAAGCCAAACCGAGAATTTCACAATCCGGAAAAAACCGAAACATTTCAAATTCTTGCTAACAATTCTTCATTCTCTACCAGGTCGACGACTTCTTGCCGTGGCTGGAGCGGAAAGCCGGCGCCGAGCTTTCAATTGGGAAATCGGCGAACGGTACGTCTCTGTTTGCTTCAAAGAGCATAACAGCTGGAGACTGCGTTTTGAAGGTTCCGCACAGCGTGGTAAGTTTTAATCCCAAATTATTTAAGATTTTAATCACAGTTTAAATTGTTAATTTATGATTTAAGAGGGTTTCTTTTGGTTGATAATTTCACGGTGAGTGTTGTGATATTCTTAGAGATAACGAGGTAGGTTATGTTGGTTGCTGATTTTCTGAATCATGACAGGACTTCAGAATCAATTGTGTTGAGTGATGACGACAAACATTTCTCAGAAGCACTCTCTCTCTCTCTCTCTCTCTGCGTTTTGATTCTCTATCTCACATCTTGATTTGGCTATGGAAATTGATTCTTTTTTATGGTCTTATTGCTTTACATTCGTTCGGTTATTGGGGTGCACAACAAATTCATTTCTCTTATGCTACTTATTTCTGCAGTCACGAGCTCCCTTTAAAATTTGTACATATTATCAGGTATACGTGTGAAAGATGATGGTTTTGATATATGTAATCTGTAAATGTTTGGGGATGCGCATGGTCTTTTTTCAGGTCCAGATCCAGGGCACTATACCTCATCATGATGCCCTTCGTGAAATGAAGTGGGAACTTTTGAAGAGATATGACAGACCAATCAGTGGTGATGTCAATGGTTTCGACTCTTCAATGGATTCTTTCACCATCAAATTGGTAGCCATGCACTGTATCTATTTTATTTCCTAATATTCAGAGCTTAGGACTTGGCCAAGGAAGCTGCTAAACATGATGGTCGATTGGCTCGACATCCTTTAGCAAACAGCGGCAGAGAGATTAAAGCACATCAGATGTTGTTATCAAATTAGCCCAATTTGCTGAGGATTATGATGCATCTATCAAGGTATAGATATGACAGACCAATCAGTAGTGACGTCAATGGTTTCGACTCTTCAATGGATTCTTTCACCATCAAGTTGGTAGTGATGCACTGTATCTATTTTATTTCCTTTCTTCCTTTCCCCCTATTTTTGTTCCTTTGCCTACATGATGGCCTTTATCACCCGTATCTAGTGGTACTCTATGAAGTCACCAAATATTCTGTTTCTTTTGTTCCATTTCCAGTCTTGCTTAATTAATGCGTTTGGCCGAGTGATGACTTGATATCTTGTGACGAAACAATTTTACTGATTACAATAATCGTATGTGATGACATAGGGAAGTTAGGTGTGGTAGTGGAAAAGGGAAAGGAATTCCAGTCACTTCGTGCATTTGCTCGTGTTCTACGTTGCACCTCTCCTCAATAATCGTATGCGTTTCTCTTCATGTTATGTTACATTGCTCGCATGCATTGCTTGATATGCTTCTGAGCTCATTTTATCTTTATGACCCATCTGCGAATAGTTTCTTGATTGTTTCCTAATATTCAGAGCTTAGTGACCTGGCCAAGGAAGCCGCAGAACATGATGGTCGATTGGCTTGACGTCCTTTAACAAACAGCAGCAGAGAGATTAAAGCACATCAGATGTTGTTTCATTTCCTTGTTTGAGTAGATAATGTTTTGAAGATCATTTCGTATTTGATCTTTGTATTGCATTTGATCATATGGTAACTTTATCATTCATTGTTAACGGTCTCGTCCAAGCAGTGGAACATGCAATGCGGTTGAAATATGTTATTGACGATTCATCTCTTCTTGTAAATCACGCCAATTCATATTAGGGGAGACTCCCGTATATGCTACTTTAGTTCGGTACTCAAAACTCTCGTGATTACTAAATTATTTGGATTTTGCAAGTCTCCACAAGTCTCCCACAATTAAGCTTCTTATGGTCTTAGATTCTCTGAACCATTATTAGAACTCACTAATAATCATTATGCTTAACCTTTGTATCGTGTAAACTCTATATTATTAATGAGAACTCTTTTACTTTCGTGGACGTAATCCAACTTGTGAACAAAAATCATACCTTGACATTTCACGTTGTTTTAAAATTAATCCGATTTTGTACATCAATAACTTCATAACAATAATTGAATATTAAAGATTATCCAAACGTTGAGGAGCATTATAAGTTTATAACAGCTATTCAGTTTATACATCACGCAAACACCGTAATACTATATTCCGGTCTCTTTTAAACCACAGGTCAAAATTATTCCAGCCGCGGACTAATTCTCCACACCTTCCCCGCGTGGATACGACAGTCGAGCGCCAAGCCAACACTCTCCTCAAAACGGCGACGTCCCAATCCCGCACCGCAATGCTACTGGGAGCGCGAAAAATCCGATGGCGTCTCCGCCGTCAACATCTCAACCTCTCCTACACTCCAAGTATCCAGCTCAACTTCCACTCCTTGTCCCAACCCATGGTATCCCAAAAGCCAAACAGAGAATTTCACAATCCCGGAAACAACCGAAACATTTCAAATTCTTGCTAACAATTCATCGTTCTCTACCAGGTCGACGAATCCGACGACTTCTTGCCGTGGCTAGAGCGGAAGGCCGGCGCCGAGATTTCGTCGGCACTTTCAATTGGGAAATCGGCGTACGGAACGTCTCTGTTTGCTTCAAAGAGCATAACAGCTGGAGATTGCGTTTTGAAGGTTCCGTACAGCGTGGTAAATCTTAACCCAAATTATTTAAGACTTTAATCACATTATTAATCACAGTTTAAATTGTTAATTTATGATTTAAGAGGCTTTGTTTTGGTTTATAATTGCAGCAACTAGCTCCGGATAATCTCGTTCCGGAACTGAAAGATTTGTTGAGTGATGGAGTTGGCGATGCTGCAAAGCTTGCCACTGTCGTTTTGTTTGAGCAGAGAATGGGCAACGTAGATTACTGTTCCAGTTTAATTTACTGTGTTGTGGAAAGACTTTCTGGGGAGTTTGAGGTTTTTGTTTATGCAGGATTCCGGGTGGGCCCCTTACATTTGCCGGCTTCCTCGCCCGGAGGAGATGCATTGCACGGTGAGTGTGATGATATTCCTAGAGATAATTTGGGTTGAACAAGAATTTAACTGATCCTTACATGTAGTTGATTTGTTTGTTTGTATACATTTCTTGAATGGCAAGAATTCAATGTTTTTGTCTTGGATGTTGTTTGTATATTCTTAGATATTTTGGAGTGACGATGAGTTGGTGCTGATTCGGCAAAGCTTTGTATATCAGGAAACAATTAATCAAAGATCTCAAATCGAAAAGGAATTTTTGGCAATTAGGACGGTATGAACTTGATTAATTTATTCTCTGGTTAATGGTTTTGGGACATCCATGCTAGAACCTCTGCCGTGTATATGCTTTAAATTTAATATCATCATCTCTATTTGGGATTTAAACTGTTGGCGGCATGTAATTCAATGTCCCTTTATCTTGAATGTTTAATCAACCAGAGCAACCCGTCAACTGTTGGTGGCACACATTCTTCAGAATTTGGAATAGTTGGAATCCCGTCAACTTAATAACTTTTGAAACTTAATCAAGTCAATACTTACCTGAGAAATGAGACGATTGTCAATCACTTCTCTGTTATTAACTTTTAGATTCTGATTATTGCTACGACATATTTTCAGGCTCTCAAGAACTTTCCTGAAATGTCCAAAAGTATCACCTTTATGGATTTCATGCACGTATATGCTTTAGGTAAGCTTCTCCATTTTAAAGCATTTTCATGTCCTAAACTGTCTGAATAAATTGCTTCAATTGTACTTAATTCCAATTTTTTGAATAAGATGAATGAATGCCAGCAGCGGTGTAGATGTTCAATGGCATCCAATTTCATATACTTTAGTTAGTTATATCTCCATTTACCTATATACCTATTCATTCCGATTTGATATGATTGCTGGATACAAACTATTCTAGATATTATTAGTTGCAGCAGTTGCATCTCTTAAAGATCTATACAACTTATTCTCACTGGTTCGCGGTGGATTTCGCAGTTACTTCTCGAGCATGGGGAAGCATGAAGGGTTATTCCCTGGTAACACATTTATAAAGATTCCGTTGCAAATAGTGTTATGAACTTTATGATGGAAGTTCAATTATTTCCCCTTTACATATGAATTTTTGGATTTTCAATTTATTTTATAGATCCCATTTGCTGATTTTTTGAATCATGACGGCACTTCAGAATCAATAGTGTTGAGTGACAACGACAAACATATCTCAGAGGTACTCTCTCTCTCTCTCTCTCTCTCTCTCTGCGTTTTGATTCTCTATCTCACATCTTGATTTGGTTATAGGAGTGCAAGAATTTTATATTCTCATTTTCATTCTGCACTCTTATGGAAACTGAGTCTTTTTTATGTTTTTATTGCTTTATATTAGTTCAGTTATTGGGATGCAAAACAAATTCATTTCTCATATGCTACTTATATTTGCAATTACTAGCTCCCTTTAAAATTTATGCATATCAGGGATATGTGTGAACAATGTTCTTGATTTTTCATGCCTGTTATTTATCTGGGCAGGTCATTGCTGACCGCAATTATGCTCCTGGTGAACAGGTTAGATGCTACTTAATTAAGATGGTTTATTTCCCCTATTTAAAATTACAGGCACCCTTTGGAATTTTGATCAATTTTTGTTTTTGTAGACGACTCATTAACATTTTCACTCATTTTCGTTTTAGATGTCTCTCGTTGGGTTTGAAATTTTCATGACAAAGAATTAGTAAAACTTTTTATTCCTCAGTGGTCATTGTGTGTTAACAGATAACGGATCACAATACATGAACACAGGGTCTATGTTAGAGTAAAAAGCACAAGATTGCTTGATATATGCTGTGGAATTAATATTTAGAAATTACTGGAAGTTTGGGGTTTCCTATTATTAGTATGAATTGGTACATGGAAACATCCTCTGAAGCAGTTCATGCATATGGTTATATTGCAGAAGTGGTTGTTTAAAGTTGTAACTCTGGACTTCAATTTGTATATTTGTATAGGTCTTAATAAGATACGGAAAATTTTCAAACGCTACCCTGCTTCTTGACTTTGGGTTTACACTTTCATACAACGTCCACGACCAGGTCAGTCTTGGATTTCAGTTCACTACAGTCACAAGGATTGCTTTGTTATGTTGGGAAAATGTTTCTGTTGCTTAATTCACACTTCTTACTTTGATTTAACACTTCGACTAGAAGTTTGTTTTTGGTAACAAAACTATTCTCCCTTTGACTCCATGACCAAGACTACTTTTGATCTAGCACTTGCTTAAAAACCTCTTTGATAAGTTGGATGTCTTTCATGGGAGCATAGTAATTGCAATTAGTTGAGTATTTATAATCTCTATGTTCAGTAAGTTTGCTTGAAGACTCAAGCCACTTAATTATCTGTCATCCAGTGTTAATTAGTAAGATACTGAATACACGTTCTACATCATTTCTTTCCAGATGATGGCTTTGTTATATGTAATCTGTAAATGTTATGGATGCCTTTGGTCTATTTTCAGGTCGAGATCCAGGTCAATATACCTCACCATGACGTCCTTCGTGAAATGAAGTGGGAACTTTTGAAGAGACATCACAGACCAATCAGTAATGATGTCAATGGTTTCGACTCTTCAATGAATTCTTTCACTATCAAGTTGGTAGTGATGCACTATATCTCTTTTATTTCCTTTTTTTCCCCTATTTTGTTCCTTTGCCTACATGATGGCCTTTATCCCCCGTATCTAGTGGTACTCTGTGAAGTCAAATATTCTGTTTCTTTTGTTCCATTTCCAGTCTTGTTTGCATTTATCCGCGTGATGACGTGATATCTTGTGATGAAAATCTTTTACTCATTACAATAATCGTACGATGACATAGGGAAGTTAGGTCTGGTAGTGGAAAAGGGAAAGGAATTCCTCAGTCACTTTGTGCTTTTGCTCGTGTTCTATGTTGCGCCTCTCCTCAAGGTGCATTTCTCTTCATGTTAACTTACTCGCATGCATTGTTTAATATGCTTCTGAGCTCATTTAACCTTATGACTCATCTGGAAATAGTTTATTGATTGTTTCTTAATATTCAGAACTTAGTGACCTGGCCAAAGAAGCTGCAGAACATGATGGTCGATTGGCTCGACGTCCTTTAACAAACAACATCAGAGAGATTGAAGCACATCAGATGTTGTTATCAAAATTAACCCAATTAGCGGAGGATTGTGATGCATCTATCAAGGTAATGATGCTAACTTTTTACTCCCTTCGTTTACAGAACTTGTCTATGCCAAGTTAAACAAGAGTTCATTATTTTCTATGATAATGCATTAATTCACGAGAGCATACACCAATTACGGTTCTTTTGAATGAAGGAATTCTTAAGTGTACGAATATTGAATCAGTGACGTGTTGCAGTAACATACTCATTTTGGTTGAGATATTAATGAAATTGAGGAATTTTATAACTGGAGAGTTCTTAGGCGTTTGGGAAGCTGTACTCAACATATGAAGAGAGTGGAATTTTAATATAATCATTTCTATGGTTTACATAATGTTGTATCTGACTACAAATGTAGTAACGCCTTTAGTGCTTCTTGAGTGTGTGCATAGTCTTTGGGACCTGTAAGTTCTCCAGTTACATGCAAAAGACTTTCTATCCGGAGGCAAATGGCTCAGGATCTCCTCAATGGTGAACTTCATATCCTCAAAACTGCTTCTGCGTGGCTAAGAAACTACTGCGACACTTTGACTACAACAGACTGCCATAGATGATGATATTGGTTTTGCAATACCACCAAAGACTCGAGAGAGGTAATATCATCGGAGATTATTTATGCAATCAGACACAGGTACAAGTTATGGATTTATATGAAACTGTACGTGAGAAACCGGGATTCTGGGAAACTAGGAGCGGACAATATTAGGCTAACATGAAGGAAAACCCACCAAACTGGCTCTTACGCATTTGGAGCGGGAATGTGGGATATCAGGGTACAACTAAAAATAGAAGACACATTTTTGCTGGGTGAATTTGGATTTCTGTGTGAATGCTTTCTCAAGTGAATGAGTTTATAGTAGTAAATTTCTATAATATAGTCCACATTTATGGTTCTCTAGTTCTGAATTTTGGCCATCTCTTTTAAGACGGTATGGATTTCTGTGGGGGCAATGGATAATTCTAGAGGTTTGAACCAAGAGAAGTGCAAAAATAAATGAAATGGGCAAAAATATAAAAGTTACAATATTTGATACCTAATTATTTCACAAGCACACACTCAAACTGAAACCAGCCGCACGGGGTTCACATCAATAATTCACTCGGAAGTTCTAGAGGCCGTAGATACATTATCGTCCACCGTAGAATGCTCTACCCTGTTTCTAATAGTTTGCACTAGTCCCTCAAGCCCCTCAGCTACTTTTTCCATTGAAGGCCTTTCCTCCCCCCTTGACCTCAAACATGTCACGGCAAGCTCGCTCACTTTTTTGGCCTTCTCAAAACTAAACTTGTCTGTGTTTATTTCACCATCGAGAATTTGGCCCAAGCGATCCTCTTGCACTGAACAAACAAAGTCGTTTGCTAGGGATGTCTCAGACCCGTCAGAAGAAATTGTCTCTTGACGCGTTAGTAGCTCCACTAGGACAACTCCAAAGCTATAGACGTCGTGTGATTTAAGATACTCAGGGTCCAAGTGTCTGGATGTCCCTGGCAAAGTTGACACTTCATCTTCCATTTCACCTTCATCTTCATCAAGCAATCGTGAAGCTCCAAAGCCGGTAACTTTTACGGTGTGCGTTGTACGATCTATTAATATATTCGTTGTCTTCACATCTCGGTGTATGACTGACCTAGAGTGCACATGTGCTAGAGCTCCTGCAGTTTCCGCTGCTATCTTCGTTCGTGATTCCAACGAGAGTTTCGATTTGTTTCTGTGAAAGTGCTCAACAAGAGTCAAAGCATCGGTGCGGTCATAAACCATTACAGGCCATCTTGTCTCTAAACAACAACCTAACAGCCTCTCCACATTTTTGTGACTGATATGTAAAAGAACAAATGCCTCATGGACAAGACGTTGACTCTGGATGAACGGGTCACCAGCAGCACTGTTGCACATTTTTATGGCAACAACTCTTCCATCTAATTCTGTGTGGTAAACTGTTCCAAAGCCTTCTTCATTTGGATTGTTCAAACAAGTGTAGTTTCTTGTGGCCTCCTTAATGGCCCCTTCAGAATAATAGTCAGTAGAAAGGTCGAATTCCGATTTCCGTACGAATTTGCCGTAATTTTTTATGAAATGCTTCCGGAATTTAGTAGCTACACTCTCCATGTCACTGGCCGTCAGAACAAGGGCTTCAACAACATCCGTAATTACAGAAGGAGACTTAGCTGCTGCAGGTACTTTATTAGGAAAAGAAGTCGAGAATGGCCAGACCAAAAGTTCGTCTCCATAGATTTCTCCTGCGTTTTTTACCCAACCTTCTTGGCCTATTCTTCCTTCCACAATCAACAACATTTGAATTGGGTCACCCTTTTCAATAATGTTATCGGTACGATTATACTTCATGGGCTGAAGGTGGTTACAAATTTCTTTCAAAACTTTATAATCCATGTTTTGGAATGCTAGCACCTACATTTTATAACATATAAGTAAATTAATTGACGGATTAAAAAAAATCTAATACATAAATATATACTTATAACTAACTCATGAATTTTAAAAACTTTTCATCCATCATTAATCTCTAACGTTTTTATTAAAATCTGCAGCCTTCGGACCGTTCTTGTGTTTGCTCACTACAAGAAAAGGTGGCCACATAAATGTGAAAGGTGTGATTGCTGCTCGGTTGCAATGATGCATTGTGGCTTTAGATATATTTAAATTATAATTTGTAGACCACAAAATACGGCAATCAATTATTATTATTTTTTTAAATCATCACATAATATTTTTCTTAAATTAATCGTGACATTATTGCAACCCCATAAGTGTCACGTTTTTCCTGTTTCTACCACTCACTTTTTGTAGCATATTTTTAATTTTTTTTCTTCCTGGTTTTAGTTAATTACCATTTTTGGGTTATTTGGATGATTATAACTACAAATGTTCACATGCTTCAAGTAATATAAAAAAGCATCCAAGTGGATGGTTTTCCTTTTAAAATTTATTGGTGTGAAAGGATAGGGGTTAGAAAGTTCTAAGTGGATGGTCTTTATTGGCCGACGAATTCTTCTATTTGACAGCTTATTTTTTCTTTTGTTATGTTTTTTTTTTCTCTGTCTCATGTACTTCCGCTCCACCTTATTCATCGGCAATGGCTAGGTTGGGGTTGGTATGGTATACGTTAGTTATGCTGTATTTAAATGCCTGGGAGCTATAATATCACATGAGCATGCATGGGATATTGGGATGAGAGCGATGAATAAATAAATCCCTCAAATTCTATGTTCAAAATTAAGGCCATGGATTCATGGATTTGAAGAAACTTTACCTGCTTCAACTTTGTCAATGGCATGTAACTTATGATCTCTTTTTGAAAATCCAAGGGAAGACCAGAAACGAGATGATCCCAATCGAGCAAATCCCAATAAAGATCAACTTGTTGAAAATTTTCTTCTACATTTTTCATCGTCCGCAACTTTACATCCTGGTTCAACTTTTCAGGAATCCCATTTCTACGTATCAATCCATCTATATTTCGCTCAATCTCCTCCTTCATCATTCTTCTGTGTCTAGGCTTCTCTTTTTCAAAAGTGTCTAATTTGCGGTATATCTATTAATCCAAAACATCAAAAAGGTTATTAGAGTTCGTTAGTTCAAGTAAAAGAATATGTAGCCAAATTACAATCAAATTGAGGTTGTTAGAGTTTCTTAAAAGTTTATTGAAGTTTTCAGATTATATGAATCTCATATTAGGGAATTAAAATTTTGCCTAATGATTTAAATAATTTTGAACCCTCTCCCTCCTATTGCCAATGGTTTTAACTAAGATGGATGCTCAATTTTAATAGGGTGTCAGATGAGGCTATCTACGTGCTATGCGTCACTCAATATGTGTAATATGTGTTGTTTACTCCACACATTAGGCTTAAATGGCCCCGCACGTGAAGGGTTGCATTGAAAACATGAAAGTCTTATCTGATAGTTTAAATAAGGGTAATTCTAGGATCTCTCTCTTATCCCAATTAATTTTACTATGGATGCTCAATTGTAATTAGGGAAATGTGCATTTGATTAAGAGCTTACACTTCGCAGGTCCTGTGCGTAGAGAGCAATGGCTTCAACAACATCAATTGCCTTGACAGATTCAGTTGCCAACGGTCTTGTGAAAGGGAAGTCAGTGGAGAATGGCAAACGTAGAAGTTCTTCTCCAAATAATTCTCCTGCACCTCGTCTCGAATCATCAGAAGATCTCTCTTCAATGGATACAAATCCATCTACAATGTAGACCATCTTGTCCAGTTGTTCACCCTTTTGAATAATAAAGCTGTTCTTAGTATACCTCACAGGCTTGAGTTTCTGACAGATTATTTTCAACACATCTTCATCTATCCCTCGAAGCATTGGCACCTGGAATTCATATTGTTAAAATCAAAGAGAAAGCAAGAGAAGCCATGGGAAGAATTGATTAAATTCTTATTAAATAAAGAGATACAATCCTCGTTTTATATGATTATCAAGGTGAGTAATTACTTGCTTCAACTTGGCAAAAGGCTCTTTTTTTTGCACCTCTGAACATCCGAAGGAAGAAGAGGGAGAATAAAAAATGTAACTAATACAACGGTTGATGATTGTTTTTTTTTTAATGATCTCCTCGGTATTTTTCTTAAGTGAATCGTGACAATAAAAACCTAACTAATGCCATAAGCACTTCTTTTTTATTTTTCTATCCCATTAGTATCACACTTTTCCTGTTTCTACCACTCACTTTTTTATAGCATATTTTTAAATTTTTTCCCTGGTTTTAGTTAATTACCATTTTTGGGTTATTTGGATGATTATAACCACAAATGTTCACATGCTTCAAGTAATATAGAAAAGTACCGAAGTGGATGGTTTTCCTATTAAAATTTATTGGTGTGAAAGGATAGGGGTTAGAAAGTTCCAAGTGAATGGTCTTTATTGGCCGGCAAATTCTTCTATTTGGCCGGCAAACTCATGTACTTACGCTCCACCTTGTCATGGGCAAGGGCTAGATTGTTATGTAGCCTAGGCCCTAGGTTGGGGTTGGTATAGTATACGTTAGTTATGCTGTATTTAAATGCCTGGGAGCTATAATATCACATGCGCTTGAATGGGATATTGGGATGAGAGTTATAAATAAATAAATGCCTCAAATTCTATGTTCAAAATTAAAGCCATGGATTCATGGATTTGAAGAAACTTTACCTTCGCCAACTTAGTCACTGGCAAGTACCTTTCGATCTGATCTTGAAAATCCTCGGGAAGATAAGAAACGAGTTGATCCCCATTGAGCAAATCCCAATAAAGACCATCGTCATGAATTTTTAGTTCTACACTTTCCATGATCCGCAACTTTACATCCTCATTCAGCCTTTGAAAAATATCATTCTTTTGTATCAATCCATCTATATTTAGCTTAAACTCCTCTTTCATCATTCTTCTGTGTCTACGCTCCTCTTTTTCTAAAATGTCTGATTGCATGTATATCTGTTAATCCACAACAACAAAAAGGTGGTTAGAGTTCGTTAGTTCAAGTAAAAAGAATATGTAGCCAAATTACAATCAAATTGAGGTTGTTAGAGTTTCTTATAGCTTATAGGCTTATTGAAGTTGTCAAAGCAAATAAAATTTTGCCTAATAATTTAAAATAATTTTGGACCCTCTCCCTCCTATTCCCAACGGTTTTAACTAAGATGGAGGCTCAATTTTAATATGGTATTAGATGAGACTAATGCATCACTCAATATGTCTTGTATAATCCACACATTAGGCTTAAGTTGCCCTGCATGTGAAGGGTTGCGTTGAAAGCATGAAAGTCTTATCTAATATTTCAAATACGGTAATTCTTGGATCACTCTTTTATCCCACTTAATTTTCCTATCGATGCTCAATTTTAATAAGGGAAATGTGCATTTGATTAAGAGCTTACACTTTGCAAGTCCGATGCTTTGAGAGCAAGGGCTTCAACAACACCGGTTGCCATGACAGATTCAGTTGCCAACGGATTTCTAAGATGGAAGAAAGAGGAGAATGGCCAACGTAGAAGTTCTTCTCCACATAATTCTCCTGCACCTGCTCCTTCACCTCGTCTCGACGAAGATCCCTCTTTAATGTATACAAATCCGTCTACAATGTAGACCATCTTGTCAAGTGGTTCATCCTTTTGAATAATAAAGCTGTTCTCACTCTCAGTATACCTCACAGGCTCGAATTTCTGCCAGATTGTTTTCAACACATGTTCATCTATCCCTCGAAGCATTGGCACCTGGAATTCATGTTGTTAAACTATCAGAGAGAAAGCAAGAAAACCCATAGGAAGAAATTCTCATTAAAAGAATAAAGATACAATCATCAACAGTTAATTAAATTCTTAATAAAATGATGAAGATAATACTTGGTACTGCCTGTTCAGTACTCAAAATTTACCGACCTCCTAATAGTCCAATACAATAAAGACAACTGTTCATTTTCAAGTCTCTAAACACACAACCAAACTCTGATCGAACACTGAATTCGCTCTCTTCTCCGATGACCCCAATCCCTCTTTTCTGCCACCCACTGTGATCGTCGTCCTCCGTTATGGACGACGGCGATGATTGCAGCCTGTCGTCATCAATCCGGAGAGTGGGTCTTATCATTTGATCTCAATCTGGTGATCTTGAAGCCACGTTTTGTGCCACAAATTAATATGGATCTCCATAGTGGTAACAATCAGTGGGGGAAGAAGAACATCAAAGAAGAGCCCCTCTTTTTTATAAAAATAAATCGTATGGTTTCAATTAAATGGGTAATAGCTTTTGTGAAATAATTTGTAATGTTTTTGCAGTTCTGGAGCGGACTGTGGGCAGAGAAAGGTAGAAGGAGAATGTTTGGCATACAGAACCAGGGTGTTTGGTTGTGTGAATGGAGACTTGAAAATGGACAGGACAGGCGTCTGTTGAAACCTAGTGCCAATTTACCCATCAACTTTATTTTCAATCAATTACCTCCCTAAACTTTTATTTATTGCCAAATTCCCTTTTGCTGTTTAAATTTCTCACATTTTATCCATGATTCACAATAAAAGTAGGATTTAAAAATGAAAATAAAAAACCACATCTCTCACTTCCCCTCTTCTACCCAATTGTAACCCTTCTCATCCACCCCAAATCTCAAACCACCAGCCACCCATAATCTCATATCAAATTCATCCGCCTACTGCTTCCCTCAAATTTAGCCCCAGTACCACCCCGCCATAACCCACTCACCCTACAACCTCCAATGGCAGGTCTCAGATTCCCGATTCAAGTCATGATCCCCCTTCCCTTCTCCCTGCAAACCCACCTTCTCGCAGCCCATCTATTGCCACACCAATAGCTCCTTGTTGCTCTCTCTCTCTCTCTCTCTCTCTCTCTCTGGGACTGTTTTCGAAGCCCACCCACAGAACCATAGCCTCCAATGGCATGTCGTAGGTCCCAATGCTAATTCAAAAAGGGAAAAATATGTTTGCTTCTAAATGACAATTTTGCCCTTCAAACTAACGGAATCATGGATGAAATGTGTGATATTTAACTGAAGATGCGAATTTGGCCATAAATAAAAGTCTAAGGGAGTAATTGGTTAAATTTTAAGTTCAAGGAGTAAATTGGCAGTAGGATACAAGTTTAGAGGGGATTTCGACAAATAAGCCTTATCCAAAAGATAAAGAGATACTATAAGTGATTAATTAATTAAAGGGTAAATTTAGATATAAGGAACTTACTTGTTTCAACTTTGTCAAAGGCATATAATCTTCTATACGGCTTTGAACATCCGAGGGAAGAAGAGGGAGAATATTATCCAAATTAATATCCATACCGTCTTCAAGTGCTTGTTGTACCTTTTCTATTATCCGCAACTTCATATCCTTATTCAACCTGGTGGGAACGCCTCTTTTAAATAACCATAATTCTATATCTCGACCTTTTTCTTCCATCTTCTGTTTGTGTAGCATCATGCGTTTGTGATCTTCTCTTCTTGTAGTTTCAAATTGCATATACATCTATTCAACAAGTAAGAGATTGATAAGAATTAGATTGTCATATTGGATAACAACTATTTTTCTTTGAAGTTGAATGTCATCAGTAGATTAGATTTTTAGTCTAAGACCTCTCACTTATAAGTGAAGTGGAATACCATTAAACCGTAGTATTAAGTGACACCAGTGTTGAGTTTTAAAGCCAAATAAGACAAGCAAATAATGACAATAAATCACAATTACAACAAATATAACGGTTACAAGAAGAGGGACTTATGGGATTGAATTTTAATGGCCAAACAATTGTGACGTGATTGGTGATATGCTTGTCATTTACAACACCAAATTCAAATGAACAAGATAGAAACTAATTAAGCTCAGAACGCGAAACATGCCCAACCTAACCAACCTAAGAATAATTCGGATGGGTTGGTTTGTTTATTTTCTTAGGTGGCAATGTGTTTGAAAAATTCCAACCCAAGCCTATTGGAATGGCCAACGAGTTAAAGTCCAACTCAACCAACCCACCCTAATCTACTTTTGGTTCTAATCTTGTGATGGAATACAATATCATGAACATATGTAGGTATCTTATTGTAGCTATACAATGAAATTCAAAGTAATATGCACCTAACCAAAGGACCACAATTAAAATCTAACATACATAACAAGAGATAAAACTAGAACACGGACATACGGTGTTACTATCTCATTCAAATTACACACAGATTTGGTTTTTATTAATATATCCTAAAACCGAGAATATCATCTATGTCATCTACTTATATGATAACATTTAGAATAATATATTACATGGTAAGTGTTCCTGTTACAAGTAGAATTTTCTTATACATGGCAATTAGATTTAGTGAAAGAAAAAAAATTCATACTTAACATATATGTAGTTTATGAATACATAACATATATTAGATTAAAGTGAATTTGATGGATATCAAAATCTTCACATATCAAGTTTACGTAGTTGGAGTGATTAATAGCACTTAATGATAGACATATGAAATTTTTTTTTCAAGCAAACCTGCAAATTTCCGATGAGATATAAAAACAGAAGCAAGCCACTTATAGAAATAAAAACCGTATAGAGATTCTCCCATCCATCAGCACTTGGCTCTAGATTTGAACCAAAGGAACTGCAAAAATGAAATTAATGGATCATTATATAAGATATCAAATTTCAAGTTATAAACTTACAAATTACAACCATTTTTCCAAGGGTTTATTTGGTTCTATGGTGCCTTATTTCTAAAATTTATCCAAGATAACATTTTTGTCTCTCAACTTGATTTTTAATCTCTACGAGGCCTTCTACTCGACTCTATTTCATAGAAGCAATACCTTAGGTTCTCGATGTGATTTATACCCTCAACAAAAAAAATTGATATAAATTGTGAACAAATTAAGGGACCTTAAAAAGTCTAAATTTTCCAACAAAGAAAGACAAAAATGTACAAACCTTAAATTTCGCAAACCCCACCAGAAACAGTTCAAGAACTTTTTGAAATAACTGGTTGATCCCACAATACCATATTTAAGCACAGTAGCAAATATACCAAAATCAAAGAACATTGTGTCTGATGAATTGTCACCAACACTGACAGGGCATAAATCATTTAGAATTGTGGTATTTCTAAAGAAGTGGTGATCATGACAACCAAACATTCTGTTATCACATCCATCATTTTTTCGACATGCAGAATGCCAACAAATCATCATTCGTTGAATAGCAAAAAAATACCACAGGGCTCCGGCTACCTGAAAATTAAACAAACAAATAAAAAGCCTGCGGAAATTATTAATATTTTAGATGCTATGGTTACTTCAAAATAGTCATTTCACGCTCTTTCTAATAAACAAAAGTGAGACCAAGATAATAAGAATTGATTCGACAAAAAAAAAAAAGATAATATATTGAAACTTACATGACTAGCAATGATGTACATAGAGAAATTGAGTAGACCTTTAATCCATATCGGAGTCTCTCTAATCTCGTCATTAAGAGGCCTTTTTTTGAGTTCTTTAAATGAGAGGTAGATGCGAAGAACTCGTGGCACATATTGCAACAGAGTGAAAACGTTCATAAGAACCATCCTTGTTGTAGTCAAAGATCTCAGGTCACTCATTTCTGAGAAGAAAATGAGGATTGCCACCTGGATACCATTCATTAGTAGTGCCAACAGTAAAATTTGATGGATGAATAACAACGTTGTCTAGAACACAAAATTAATACTCTCTAACAAAATGTATGTGAGACCCAAACATATATTACATTGTATGTCAGTTTTGTGCATTTAACACGAAAAAATCCATTTTGGCCGCATGCAAAGCAAATAGGGAAAACAATTACTCCAAGAAAGGGATTTAAGTTCTTACCTGTGGAAGGGGAAGAAGAGCTACAATGTCAATTAAGATATCATATGACGTCCATATTGTCTTGGCTATTCTTGGCACACAAGATTTCAGCACAAAATTAAAATTCAGCTGGTGTTGTCTGTGGTTAAGTTCATTGATTAAACTCGAATAGTTCTCAGATCTATATATTCGAATAATGATGTCCATTAAATAAAAAAAATCTGTGAGTGATCTTAAAAGAAGAATGACTATCTTCAACTTTGGATCTAACATAAGGCACTTGATATCATCCTTCAGAATAGGAACGTAGAGGAACAATGGATCCAATAGGACAGCACACAAACACGATGATATAAATATTTTCTTCCAATATTTCTGATCTAGAGACTCAGTAGGTTTTTGAGTTTTCGCTGCCCATATGCAACTTACTTCCATATGCGAGTTTTCCATTCCGGCCTTTGGATTTGAATTTCAGAATTACTGGACAAACACACACAACTAATATAATTAGTAGTTGTCCTAAAAAAATCAAAATTTCTCAAGACATAGTGTTGAAGCGCTTATAACCGTCGGATTTGATCTAGTAATTGAAATTTGTTGAACATTCATCAAATCTGATGATCATAAGTGCTATGTCACTCCGGTTGCACCAAAAAAAAAAAATCATAAAATAGTTGACACAACATTTTGATGAAAAAAAAGAAAAAACAAGAAACTACTCAAACTTACTTTTCTTTTTCTTTTTCCGGAGAAAATAGAACTGAATCTTGGAGCTAGAACTCTGAAATTTTGCAGATAAAGTAGCAAATACACTTCGAAGCCAAATTTGAGATTTCAAATTTCTATAACTGAAATGTTCAATTAGAGTGGATATATGGATCCAGTAGTCCACGTTTTAT